GCTCGATCTGCTGGTGCTGGCTGCGCACGGCGAATCGGTTGACGTGCACCGGGATGGGCACCACGATCTTAGGGTTGCGGACGGGCTCGCCCGAGCGGTTGCTCACATTGCCCGCCTTGATGCGTTTCCACTTGGCGCGGCGGTTCTGGAACCAGATCTTCACCTGCACCTCGCTGAGCTTCAGGGCGTGTGCGATCTGGGAGCGCTCCGTGAGGCTCAGGTACTTCTTGCAGTGGAACTCCTTCTCCAGCTCCAGCAGCTGCTCGCTCGTGAATGCCGTGCGCCGTCGCCGGCTCTTGCCGGCCCCGGAACCCGGCGGCGTTTGCTCGGCCGTGGGGCCACCCTTGCCCTTGCCCTTGGCGCCCAGCCCACCGCCGGCCGCTCCGTCCAGGAAGGGCTCGTCCTCGCTGTCGCCTGCCGAGCTCTCCTCCTCCCGCTCGCTGCAAGGCGTTGCCGCCGACTTCACCTCCAGCTTCTCCTCGTCCGAGCTGTATGCCTTCCCGTCTGCGGGGCACACAGCATCAGTGCCTGCTGGAGCGACCCACGTGGGTGCCCGCGCCACGAAGCCCAGCCGCCCCCATTGCCCGAGGGCTCCCCTTGCCACGGAGCCACTGGAGCCCCTTCCATCCTCAAACCCGGCCCTGGGTGCCTGCACTGCAGAGCCACGGGGGTAGCCAGGCCCATGGGGGGGTCTTGGGGCACCCCATCCCTCCCCTCAGTGGTGGGCCTGTGGCACCAGGAGTGCTGGGCACGGGGGAGGCCCAGCCACGCTGCTCTCCCCGGCCCAGAGCTGCGTGTCCCACTCTGCCCAGCTATGCAGCGCAGCTCCACAAGCACAGCTCAGCCCATCTCTGAGCCACCCCAGCTCCTGCCACTGCCCCATCCTGCAGCTGGGCAGCAGGATCACCACCTCCCCATGCCGCAGAGCACACCGCTGTCCATCCAGAGCTTGTCCAGACCTGTGCTTCCTTCTCAATTCAACCCTCCTCCTGACCCATCCCACTGTAATTGACCATCTAGTGCTGCCAGGAGCTGAAGGACTTCCCAGGAAAAAGCAGCCTGCCTCAGTGTCAGCCCAGCAAGCCTTCTCTGCAGGGTTCTGCAGGCTGTGGGGTATCCTGCTGCTCTCCCTCCCTAGCCCTGGCTGCAGCACAGCAGAGCGGCACAGCCTGGCAGCAACGTGCTCTGGCAGCTGATGCACAAGGCTCAGCTTCCTTCACAGAAGGGCAAATTGGCTAGGCAGGCAAGAGGCAGCCACCAGCACCCAAAGATGGGATCCCAGCCCAAGCCGCCCAGACAGGAGGCAGCACTTGGGCCAAAGCAAACACCTCTGCTATGTTGCCTGCAAGGTTACTGATAGGGACTTTAGGAATGAATCTTCTGCTTGCCAGCTTCTTTCATCCCAAAC